AACCCCCCCACCTTGACAAGGTCATGGCCCCCGCCCATTCCGCGCAGAGGAGAGGAGAGCAGAGGAGAGGAGAGGAGAGGAGAGGAGAGGAGAGGAGAGGAGAGGAGAGGAGAGGACGAGAAGAGAGAGGAGAGGGGACGAGAGAGAAGAGGAGAGCAGAACAGAGGAAGGAGAGGAGGAGCGGAGAAGAGGATGTCTGACAAAGAATGAACTCACCAGTGTCTCTAAAATCAGCCTGCGGTTTGTATTTCTGCTGAAAACCAAGCTCCGACCAGGTCCTCTCCCCTGTTCCTCATCGTTAGTGAAAGAAAAGATTCAGAAATCAGCAAGTGAAACATTGAGGGATATCATCGAAACAAAGAATGACATGAGAAATGGTACAAGTCAGAGGTTGAAGGCAGAGAGTAGAAATGAAATACTGTGAGGGTAAAGAACAAAAGTGAGGGATGGATGGAAGGGAAGAAGAGGGAAGAACAAGGAAGGGGGGGAGAAAAGGAGGGAAGAATGAAGGAGGGGGAAATGAGGAGGGGGGAAGAGGGAGAGGGAAAGAAGGGGGGAGGAAAGAGGTGGAGGGGTGGAGGACGAACGGAGAGATCCAAGAAACAGCAGGACACGTCTGAACCTCGAGGACTTTCATCGTTACTTGTCACCCCAGTGATAGGAGGAGGAATTGTTTCTCCTCCAAACACAAGCTGCCACAGCTCATGTAGCTGTCGCACATGCGCATCCTCCTGCAAACAGAAACAAAGTCACCTCTCCTCTCCTCTCCTCTCCTCTCCTCTCCTCTCCTCTCCTCTCCTGCCCTGCCCTGCCCTGCCCTGCTCTCATCCCCTCTCCTCATCTTCTTTCCCTCGCTTCCATCACATCTCCTCCTGCATCAAGGCAAGCATGCACGAGGTCTGAACATCTGACGCGAACATGGACAACCTGCGGGTTGAAGGATGCGAATCTCAGGTCCAGGATCGCAACGACCTTATTCTGTGCCTCAAACCTCCTCTCCGCCCAGACCTTCCTGGCCCTGTTGATCTCCTCCTGACACTCCTCCTCCTCCCCCTTGTCGCCAAGAATCTGCACGCGGACCAGGAGAGCAGTCCCTGCCTGTGGGTGATGGTGTGAGCAGCGAGATCGTGTTTGAAGACAGAAAGTTGAACAACACATCCATGAGATACCTTTTCTTCAAACACAAGACATTCATAGGAGTCGTACTACTGTGCATAATACATGCATAGAAGATATACAATCTTCACACAAGACTGTCATAGGAGATGTATCTCTTCACAAACAGGACGTCCATCCCCGAGTACCTTGGTTTCTGGCATCGTCCTATCGCGCCGAGGGAAGAGCAGATGGAGAGCGTTGAACTCAGGACGAGAGTTCCTCGCCTTGGCCTCTACCTCCTTCGTGAGATCCTCCACCCAGCACTCCGCTTCCACCGTCGTCCTGCATGCCGCCTCGTCCACCACGAACTTCTCTTTGGGCGACTGGGGATTCATGGACTGGACTGCGAGGACGCGGAGGACCCCCGAGCTCGTCAGCTCGATGATGCAGGCGCGATGGCGACCGAGGATGCCGACGGCAAGCTGCTTGCCCGACCATCTCCGACGGGCTCCGCTCATACCTTCATGCTCCCTGCTCTGCATCGTCTATTAGCTCCCCTCCTTCCCTTCCCTCCGCTCCGCTCGCTTACCCTCCTCTCATTTCTTTCCCTTCCTTCCCCTCGTCGCTTCTCTTCTCCTCTCCTCCCCTCCCTTCCCTTCCTCAACTTCACTCCCCTCGTCCCTCCCTCCCCTCCCCTCCTCCCTCCCCTCCCTCCCTCCCTCCCTCCCTCCCCGAAAAGCTTTTACTGTACCACCCTTGGAAATGCAAACGAAGTAAAGTAGGAGTACGAAAACCTTTGCTAACCGCGCCCCTCCTCTCCCCTCCTCTCCCCTCGCCTCGCCTCGCCTCGCCTCGCCTCGCCTCCTCTCCTCTCCTCTCCTTACTCTCCTCGCCTCTCGTTTCCCTTACTCTCTCGCCTCCCCTCCCTGCCCTCCCCGTCCCGTCCCGTCCCCTTCCCCCTCCCTTCCTCCACCCGTCTCCCCTTCCTCAGCTTCCCTCCAATCTCCCGCTCGTCTCCTCCTCTCTTTCCCTTTCAACATCTCTCCTCCTCCCCCGCCATACTTGAAAGTTTTCATTCACAAGGATGTTATAGTACAAGAAACAGCTGCAAGTACAAACAAGAGCCACCAAGACCCCAACCTCGTTGCTCCTGCAGTTTGAGATAAACCGCAGCGCTGAGAACATGTCAGAGGATGAAGACGACAGGGAGGAGGGAAGAGAAGGAGAGGCGGGAGGGCAGGAGGACGGGAGAAAAGTAAGAGATAGCAGGACAGGGGGGGGGGAGGAGGAGACGAGACGAGACGAGATGAGACGAGACGAGACGAGACGAGACGAGAAGAGAGGAGGGAAGGAGGGAGGGAGGAGGGATGAGGA